GGGACAGACAAATCGTGACCAGGAATATCCATTGTATGCAGCTGAGCAAACTGACGACGAAGGATCGCTTGATGAGTCAGGGACAGACAAATCGTGACCAGGAATATCCATTGAATGCAGCTGAGCAAACTGACGACGAAGGATCGCTTGATGAGTCAGGGACAGACAAATCGTGACCAGGAATATCCATTGTATGCAGCTGAGCAAACTGACGACGAAGGATCGCTTGATGAGTCAGGGACAGACAAATCGTGACCAGGAATATCCATTGTATGCAGCTGAGCAAACTGACGACGAAGGATCGCTTGATGAGTCAGGGACAGACAAATCGTGACCAGGAATATCCATTGTATGCAGCTGAGCAAACTGACGACGAAGGATCGCTTGATGAGTCAGGGACAGACAAATCGTGATCAGGAATATCCATTGTATGCAGCTGAGCAAACTGACGACGAAGGATCGCTTGATGAGTCAGGGACAGACAAACCGTGACCAGGAATATCCATTGAATGCAGCTGAGCAAACTGACGACGAAGGATCGCTTGATGAGTCAGGGACAGACAAATCGTGACCAGGAATATCCATTGAATGCAGCTGAGCAAACTGACGACGATGGATCGCTTGATGAGTCAGGGACAGACAAATCGTGACCAGGAATATCCATTGTATGCAGCTGAGCAAACTGACGACGAAGGATCGCTTGATGAGTCAGGGACAGACACATCGTGACCAGGAATATCCATTGTATGCAGCTGAGCAAACAGACGACGAAGGATCGCTTGATGAGTCAGGGACAGACAAATCGTGACCAGGAATATCCAGTGTATGCAGCTGAGCAAACTGACGACGAAGGATCGCTTGATGAGTCAGGGACAGACAAATCGTGACCAGGAATATCGATTGAATGCAGCTGAGCAAACTGACGACGAAGGATCGCTTGATGAGTCAGGGACAGACAAATCGTGACCAGGAATATCCATTGAATGCAGCTGAGCAAACTGACGACGAAGGATCGCTTGATGAGTCAGGGACAGACAAATCTTGACCAGGAACCAAACACCAAAACATGCAGTTTCTCCATTCATTGTTAAGAACCAAACGGATGCAGGAAAGCGAAACAAAAAGTGGTATTGTTCAGAGAACTTGTATGACGGGTTGTCAGGCGTTTTTTCATGGCTCATCCAACAGTTTTCAGCTTCCTCATCTGACCAACTGAAGAGACTCACCTGTACAGCACCATGATAGGTGAAAGTGATGAGCATCAAATGATTGTGAAAGATCACAATGTTATGTTAATAAAAATGACAAAACCCTTTCCATATCCAATAGAAATATCTGCTTAAAGCAGAGTCGATTGTACGATTCGGACTATATCATGAGCATGTGTTATCAGTCACTATCAAATAATAATGATACCAGTGTTCGCGAAAAGGTGAGCGTATCCTGCCTCACCGGTGGCACCCGTCACAAACACATGCAAAGCAAAGCCAATTGTTCACCTGAGTGAGTGAGTGAGTGAGTATAGTTTTACGCCGCTTTTAGCAATAATCCAGCAATATCACGGCGGAGGACACCAGAAATGGGCTTCACACATTCTACCCATGTGGGGAATCGAACCCGGGCGTGACGAGCGAACGCTTTAACCATTAGGCTACCCCACCACCCACTGTTCACCTGAAAAAACACGGGAACACATGGTACAAGTCAAAATAGGGAATTGCATCGGACATCATGATCATTTTTGTCACTGATGCTCCGAATTTGGAAATGTCCTCTGCCACACTCTGTCGCAGTGGTGACTCAGCAAAACACCACTGCCACAGGCTAATTTGCGTGACCGGACTTTTCTCTTGTTTGTAAACAAACGCGCTTTTTCAGAAATCAGTACAGAACGGACTAATGCAAGTATTTGGGGGCGCTTTACATATTATTTTGCATAACTATATAGATATGCTACTACAACTGCGACAGTGAGTTGCATGACAATTTATATTTATGCATCAAAGTGACCGTGTCGCTAGCTCTCCGTTGGGCTTCGATGACAGCACGTGGAGCCGTACAACCAATGTAAACATAGGATAACTACGCAAAAACAAGTAGATTTTTACGTATTTGCATACTTTCTCAATGAAAGTTAACCATTCTTTGACATTTGTTTATGAAAATGTGTAGACTTGTCAAACATGAAACGGATGAAAAGCATATGCAATATCTTGAATGGACTGTGAAAGATGTGACGAATCGTCACATGGCGCTGGCCTGTGGCAGAGGTACCATGCTAGCTGGCTGTCGGCCGCATGGAACTCTGGGTAGGAGAGTGGTCCTCTGCATGTCTACCCTAAAACTTTTTGAAAGCTTTATCTTGGTAGAAAGAGAAATTATACTGCTTAGAATTTGTTTCTTGTTTAACACCGCACACAGCAATAATATTCTGGTTATATGTCTGTAAACGTTCTAATTCTCACGGGGCATAATAATGATAAGATGCGGGACTAAACCACGTTAAAAAGGCAATAACAATTCCGGGTTAGAGTTGGTTCCTGGTAACATTTTCTTGTCCATGCCGCTTCACTCGGTGTATTTGCTATCATGGTCGAATGGAGATATAAACCTGGTTTCAATGTAGAGCTTGGCCACCTGTAGATTTTACCGATCTAAATTTAATATATCTGAAATATGCGTCGTGATCAGGGCCAGCAACAATGCACGTCAGAACAAGCAACATGACATGTCAGAGCCAGCCACATTACACGTCAGAGCCAGCAACAATGCACGTCAGAACCAGCAACAATGCACGTCAGAACCAGCAACATTACACGTCAGAGCCAGCAAAATTACATGTTAGAACAGCAACATTACATGTCAGAACCAGCAACATTACACGTCAGAGCCAGCAAGATCACATGTCAGAGCCAGCAACAATGAACGTCAAAGCCAGCAACATTACATGTCAGAGCCAGCAACAATGCACGTCAGAACCAGCAACAATGCACGTCAGAACCAGCAACATTACACGTCAGAGCCAGCAAAATTACATGTTAGAACAGCAACATTACATGTCAGAACCAGCAACATTACACGTCAGAGCCAGCAAGATCACATGTCAGAGCCAGCAACAATGAACGTCAAAGCCAGCAACATTACATGTCAGAACCAGAACCATTACACGTCAGAACCAGCAACATTACATTCCAGAGCCAGCAACATCACATGTCAGAACCAGCAACATTACATATCAGAACAAGCAACATTACATGTCAGAACCAGCAACATTATACGTCAGAGCCAGCAACAATGCACGTCAGATCCAGCAACATTACACGTCAGAACCAGCAACATTACACGTCAGAGCCAGCAACGATGCACGTCAGATAAGCAACATTACATGTGAGAACCAGGAACATTACATGTCAGAACCAGGAACATTACACGTCAGAGCCAGCAACATCACACGTCAAAATGAGGAACATTAGACTCACTACCAACAACATTACACGTAAGAATCAACAATATTACACGTCAGAGCCCGCAACATAACATGTCAGAACCACTACATTACACGTCAGAGCTAGCAACATTACACGTCAGAACCAGAACATTTCGCGTCAGAGGCAGCAACATTGCATGTCAGAACCAGCAACATTACTTGTTAGAACCAGCAACATTACATATCAGAGCCAGCAACATCACATGTCAGAACCAGCAACAAGGCACGTCAGAAACAGCAACATTAAATTTCAGAACCAGCAACATTACACGTCAAAGCCAGCAAAAATGCACGTCAGAACCAGCAACATTACATGTCAGAACCAGCAACATCACATGTCAGAACCAGCAACACTACACGTCAGAGCCAGCAACAATGCACGTCAGATCCAGCAACATTACATGTCAGAACCAGCAACATTACACGTCAGAGCCAGCAATAATGCACGTCAGAACAAGCAACATTACATGTCAGAACCAGCAACATTACATGTCAGAACCAGCAACATTACACGTCAGAGCCAGCAATATTACACGTCAAAATGAGCAACATTTGTCTCACTATCAGCAACATTACACATAAGAAACAGCAATATTACACGTCAGAGCCCGCAACATAACATGTCAGAACCAGAACATTTCGCGTCAGAGGCAGCAACATTGCATGTCAGAGCCAGCAACATAACATGTCAGAACCAGCTACATTACATGTCAGAATCAGCAACACTACACGTCAGAGCCAGCAACAATGCACGTCAGAACCAGCAACATTACATGTCAGAACCAGCAACATTAAACGTCAGAACCAGCAACATTACATGTCAGAACCAGCAACAATGAACGTCAGAACCAGGAACATAACATGTTAGAACAGGAACATTACACGTCAGAACCAGCAACATTGCATGTCAGAGCCAGTGACATCACATGTCAGAACCAGCAACATTACACGTCAGAGCCAGCAACATCACATGTCAGAACCAGCAACACTACAGGTCAAAACCAGCAACATTACATGTCGGAACCAGCAACATCACATGTCAGAACCAGCAACATTACACGTCAGAGCCAGCAACATCACATGTCAGAACCAGCAACATCACATGTCAGAACCAGCAACAATGCACGTCAGAGCCAGCAACATTACACGTCAGAGCCAGCAACAATGCACGTCAGAACCAGCAACATTTCACATCAGAACCAGCAACATTTCACATCAGAACCAGCAACATTTCACATCAGAACCAGCAACATTACACATCAGAACCAGCAACATTACACGTTAAAATCAGCAACATTATGATTTTGTACAGAGATTGTGTGCTCAGTGAAAGGTCATGTTCCCACACTCACGGAACAAGAAATCTGGATTCCTTACTTTATGTTTCCGTGTCTAGTTAACCCTAACACAAATGTAACAGATGAAATATTGGTAAGGTAAGTCATCGAATGGGTTAACGTCCTGTTCTGGACAAAAGATGAATCATTTAACCGTTAGATTTCTCGGCATTGCTTCAGTCTTCAAGAACAGAAGCTCGTGAAAGGTTGGATCGTCGTCTTCCCTGTAAGTATCAAAGGTCATTGGTAGTAGTCGTAAGTAGGGTAGTATTTGGGAATTGGTAATGATGTTACCGGTAGTAACATAGTAACATGTAGACATGGTAATATGACAAAAGAATGAAGTGATGTTTGTGGTAGCAGTGTCTGTTTTTAGAGCGATTTTACCTCACACTGGAAGCTGACACTCTGATATCAGAAATGGGCTTCACACATTCTACCCATGTGGGGAATCGAACCCGGGTCTTCGGCGTGACGAGCGAACGCTTTAACCATTAGGCTACCCCACCGCCCACTGTTCACCTGAAAAAACACGGGAACACATGGTACAAGTCAAAATAAGGAATTGCATCGGACATCATTTTTGTCACTGATGCTCCGAATTTGGAAATGTCCTCTGCATGTCTACCCTAAAACTTTTTGAAAGCTTTATCTTGGTAGAAAGAGAAATTATACTGCTCTTAGAATTTGTTTCTTGTTTAACACCGCACACAGCAATAATATTCTGGTTATATGTCTGTAAACGTTCTAATTCTCACGGGGCATAATAATGATAAGATGCGGGACTAAACCACGTTAAAAAGGCAATAACAATTCCGTGTTAGAGTTGGTTCCTGGTAACATTTTCTTGTCCATGCCGCTTCACTCGGTGTATTTGCTATCATGGTCGAATGGAGATATAAACCTGGTTTCAATGTAGAGCTTGGCCACCTGTAGATTTTACCGATCTAAATTTGATATATCTGAAATATGCGTCGTGATCAGGGCCAGCAACAAGGCACGTCAGAACAAGCAACATTACATGTCAGAGCCAGCCACATTACACGTCAGAGCCAGCAACATTACATGTCAGAGCCAGCCACATTACACGTCAGAGCCAGCCACATTACATGTCAGAGCCAGCCACATTACACGTCAGAGCCAGCAACATTACATGTCAGAACCAGCAAGATTATATGTCAGAGCCAGCAACATAACACGTCAGAGCCAGCAACATAACACGTCAGAACCAGCAACATTGCACGTCAGAGCCAGCAACAATGCACGTCAGAGCCAGCAACAATGCACGTCAGAGCCAGCAACAATGCACGTCAGAACCAGCAACATTACATGTCAAAATCAGCAACATTAGACTCACTACCAGCAATATTACACGTAAGAACCAGCAACATTACATGTAAGGACCATCCGATCGAAACTGAACAAAACAGTTTGGGCTCATGATTTTTTTATTCTTTTTTTTTGTTGGGGGTGGGGGGTGGGGGGTGGGGGGTGGGGGTGGGGTTGGGGGTTGGGGGTTGGGGTGGGTAGTAGTAGTAGTATTAGTAGTAGCAGTAGTAGTAGTGGTAGTATTAGTAGTGATAGCAGTAGTGGTAGTAGTTGTAGTAGTAGTAGTAGTAGTGGTAGTATTAGTAGTAATAGCAGTAGTTGTAGTAGTTGTAGTAGTAGTACATCAGGACAAGTAGTAGTAGTAGTTGTTGTAGTAGCAGGACTAGTGATGGTTATGTGGTAGTAATAGTAGTAGCATCCACATTAGCAGTAGTAGTAGTAGTAGTAGTAGTAAGAGGGGGAGGAGGAGGAGGAAGAGGAAGGGGTGGGCTGGGGGTGGGGGTGGTGGGGGTGGTGGGGGTGGTGGTGGTGGTGGGTGGTAGGTGGGTGGTGGTTTATCATAATCGCTGGGTGGCAGCAGTATTGGCAGTCGTAGTACATGTACGTTTCTTAACCAGCACAGCTAAACAGATAAACCATAGGGCCGTGTCTTTGTTCGTTAGATGACTTACCCCTAAGGTAATCCGGGTGAGAATAAGACCCAGGAACCCCATTGCAGAAGCGTCTAAGTCATTCAGTCATACTCATTGACAGTGGCTAATGGCGTGACATCGTGCTCATACTTTCAGTCACCTGTTTTCCCAGTCAAGACTCGATTATTGACCTTTTTACCGTCATATAGCTGGAATATTACTGAATCTGGCGTTCACTCACTCATGTGATGAGCCTAATAACAGACATCAAGTAATTCTGTTGCGAAGTTAGATGTTTTTAATTATAAGCAACACGTTTCCTTTGTAAATGCGTTATCGTGTGGCTGGGTTTCTTTTACATCACGGGGCGGTCGGGTAGCCCAGTGGTTAAAGCGTTCGCTCGTCACGCCGAAGACCCGGGTTCGATTCCCGTCATGGGTACAATGTGTGAAGCCCATTTCTGGTGTCCTCCCGCCGTGATATTGCTGGAATATTGCTAAAAGCGGCGTAAAATCAAACTCACTCACTTTTACATCACTTTTATGTCTGGTTTGTTTACATACCGCTGTCGCATAGCAGGAGTACTGTTGTGCGGGGGGCGGTCGGTAGCCTAGTGGTTAAAGCGTTCGCTCGTCACGCCGAAACCCCGGGTTCGATTCCCGACATGGGTACAATGTGTGAAGCCCATTTCTGGTGTCCCCCACCGTGATATTGCTGGAATATTGCTAAAAGCGGCGTAACACCATGGGTGTGTGTGTGTGTGGGGTGGGGGGGGGGGGGGGGTTAGTGTTATAGATAACCAACGAGATTACTGAAACATGAATGTTAGGATAAATATAACGATATGTTTTGTAACGTGTAATCACGTTTTGTTTGTGTGTTTGTTGTTTAACGCTGCACTCAGCAATATTCAATATTCCAGCTATATTACGGTGGTCTGTAAATAATCAAGTCTGGACAAGACAATCCAGTGATTGACATCATGAGCATCGATCCACGCAATTGGGATACGATGACATGTATCAACCAAGTCAGCGAGCCTGACCACCCGATCCCGTTAGTCGCCTCTTACGACAAGCATAGTCGCCTTGTACGGCAAGCAAGGGTTGCTGAAGACCTATTCTACCCCGGGTCTTCACGGGTCATATCATCACGTATGACATCGTGCGTTTGATGTTTGACTATTGAAGTAACAAACTGAACTGATCTTAGCAGCGTCCTTTATAACCAAGGCCCTCGCATAAAACAAAAGACAATACTGCTCTGTTTTATAACGACGCACAGTTCTTATTAATTAGGGCTTTGTATAGCATGTCAACAGATCTGATACGAAAACTGTTTATGCAATGCATCAACACGGCAGTAAACTCTTTGTTTGTCAAATAATATTCCTATTCATGTTCCTTCTTTTTGATGGGGGCACGGGTGGCCCAGTCGTCTAAGGCGCCACGATTCGCTGTGCAGAGTTGCGTCCCTTTGGCACGCCAGAAACCTATGATTGTGGGTTCGAATCCCGGTTCACCCCAATTATGTTTCTAGGTTTGTCGGCACCATACCCGTGCTCGTGGGTTTCACCGAAGTGGTAAAAGTCTGAGACCTGCATCACTTCGGGCTTTCCTCCCACATTAAGCTGAATCGTTGTGATATAACTGGAATACTGTTAAAAGCGGTGTTAAACCCAACTCACTCACTCCTTCTTTTTGCAGCCGAAAGTGCGTTTTGCCTGTTTACTCCCTCAAGTATCCTCAACATGGACATTCCCATGGCAGTGGTCTTGACCCTCTACCTTGGGTCAGCTGGATTGGTCAGCTCGCTTCCTTGTCCGCCTTGTAGCTGCCAAGTCTTCGAAAATGGAACCATGCAAATGAATTGTATTAACACCAATCTGACGGAGATACCCTCGCCTCCAAAGACAGGGAAGCACAAATACAAGTTATCCGTGTACTTCATTGGGAACCGCTTGCCAGTATTGACGAAGAAGATAATGACACCGCTTCAAACTCCTCAGAAATTGTATTATCTCAGTCTAAGGAGAAACGGTATTCGGCAAATATCTTGTGATGCATTTCAAAGTCTGGATATGTTGTACGGATTAGACATAAGCGATAATAACGTGACAAATACAAGTCTTGAGAAATCATTTTGGGGCTTGAGAAATCACGCCAGTCTACGACTTAACATCAGTTCTATGGGATTGCACGTCAGCGATGACTTTTTTCACCACTTGCAAAACATCCCTGATCTAAACATCACAATGAGGAATAACTCGCTCTCTGAAATCCCACATACAGCAATGAAAGTCCTCCGTCATCTCCACTACTTAGACCTTGGACGGAATGATTTCTCCGACATAAAACTACCAGAAAATTACACACTTTGGACATATGAGCTAAGACTGAATGACAATAAGTTCAGGAAATTTCCAAATTTCTGCATATTAAACCACTCCAGATCACAATTTCCAAATTTAAAAAGACTTCACTTTAAATACAACAAAATGGAAGATCTGAACAGTGACCATTATGACTGTTTGCATTTTCTGACCCATCTATACCTTGATGGCAGTCCTCTACGTATTTTAAGGAGAAATCAGTTCGCAAGACTCCCCAAGTTGTACTTGATATCACTGGCATACGTAGGGTGTGCAATGGACAAAATAGAAGGCTTTGTTTTCAATAATACGGCTTTAAAATATATTGACTTCCGTAAAAATCACATTTGGATTAATGAACACAATCTGACAATGTTTCATGGCTGCACGTCCCTGGAATCGCTGAACTTGGAGGATAATATTCTGCAAAAAATGACTCAAAATGACTTTGATCAATTGTTTAAAGATCTTCGTTTCCTGGTGTATTTAACAATAGGTAGGGGAGGTCTTTATTATATTCCAAGAGTCATAACATCAAGTTTAACAAAGTTGAGAAAGCTTGAACTATATGGAAACGGAATTCCCTCTTGGGAGGAAGGTCGACTAGACAATCTTACACGATTAGAGACATTACATATGAGAAATAATAGAATTACGGTGATTACACAACGTTCATTTCCTGAACATTTTATAAAGGGTGCAAAGGGTTTGGACTTTAGCCATAACATATTCTCATGCACGTGTAATTTGTTGTGGTTTGTTGAGTGGATGAAGTCAAATGAGAAGATAATATCATATCTGTATGATTACAGATGTGAAAGTCCTCATTTTCTCAAGGGGACTGGGCTCCTTAATCTGACGTTATCTGAAAATAAATGTCTGTTGAGTCAGAATGAGCGAATCATCACCCTAGCTGCAGGATGCATATTGATAGTGTTCCTGGTGACAGGGGCAGTGATGTATCGCTACCGTTGGCACATCCGATACTTCATCTACATGGTCAGATACAATCAACGTCAGGAGGTGGACACACGCGAATACGAATATGACGCATTTGTGGCCTACTCTGCAGCGGATCGTCAGTGGGTCATTCGGAATATGTTGCCTGTTCTGGAAGGAAATGAAAACCTGAAACTCTGCGTTCATGACAGGGACTTTGAGGTTGGAAAATTAATCGTGGATAACATAGTTGATGCCATTGAAACAAGCCGAAAAATCGTCATCGTTCTCTCCAATGAGTTTGCCATAAGTGACTGGTGCCTATTTGAGCTGAACCTCATCCAGCGTCACGTGCTGGAGAATGGACAGCGCCTCCTGGTGGTGGTGATGCTGGAGGAGATAGACACACGTCACGTGACCAAAGCTATGAGAGCCATGTTGCAGACGACAACCTACCTGATGTGGGGCGAGGAAGAGTATGCCAAAAAAGCCTTCTTCGACAGGATGAAGATGATATTGCGGAGGCAAGAACAAAATTAACAGAAAAGAAGGTTGTCAGTTTGAAGAACATAATAATCTGATTGTTACTGTGTCAGAGTGGAGTATTCCGGAGACGGCCACCGTGGTCTAGCGTCCGACCGGAGAGCGGAAGGTCCGGGGTTTGATCCCCGGCCGCGTCATACCAAAAGATGGTACTTGTTACCCTGTCTGGCGCTCGGCATTAATGAGCTAAAACAAGGACTGCTCGGCTCGGAGTCAGTACACTGTGTCAGAGTGGAGTATTCATGTTGTATTCATGGGGTACCTTCCAACGTGGACGGCCTCCGTGGTCTAGCGTCCGACCGGAGAGCGGAAGGTCCGGGGTTTGATCCCCGGCCGCGTCATATCAAAAGACGTTAAAAGATGGTACTTGTTGTTACCCTGTCTGGCGCTCGGCATTAAGGGGCTAAAACAATCACTGTTGGGCTCGGAGTCAGTATACTGTGTCTGAGTGGGGTATTCATGTTAACCTGTGACATGATATCTCAGTGGGCTAGCACTATAAATCGACATCAGTCCGGACTAGTACAAGCAGCCACACACACATGCACATCGCAATATAAGTGCAATAATCTTGAACGCGACGTTAATCTCATTTCAACTCACCTCAACTCAGCGTTACACAGTTATGCCTTTGTATATATGGCAGTTCAGCCCTGAAAGAGGTGTCTCGCTGTATTCTTTTCGTTGTGTAGATATTTTGATTTACTGGTCTTGCATTCATTCTGTATTTTAGCCCTGTTGAATGACCGAGTCCTATACAGTTAAAACCTCTTTAATCAGGTCGGAGCCGTTCCCAGTGAATTGTCAAAATTTACAAATGTCCGTGTTACTAACCGCAGAACAGTTATTTGTATACAATTTGTTATCGTCCAACAGAGTACAGAAAAATAAGTGTAATATGATCCATGTATTGACAATTCTAGTTAATACTACACTTGATACAAATATCTAAAAATCAAAATTATGCTTATTGATTCTTAATTGTCAGTTTTCATACACAAAGTATCTGCATATTTTAATATTTTATCAAGCATGTGTGAGTGTATATGTATATAAACACATAGAATAAACAATAGAATGCTCTATTTTGATGCCTTTTCTGTTTTCTTCACGTTCTCTCGCTGTGTTGTAGCATGACAGCGGCTTCTCAGCCTAGGAGTGAGTGAGTGAGTGAGTGAGTGAGTTGGGTTTAACACCGCTTTTAACAGTATTCCAGTTATATCAAGGCGTGTCAGCTTAATGTGGGAGGAAAGCCCCAAGTGATGCAGGTCTCAGACGTTTACCACATCGGTGAAACCCACGAGCACGGGTATGGTGCTGACAAGCCTAGAAACACAATCAGGGCGCACCGGGATTCGAACCCACAATCATAGGTTTCTGGCGTGCCTAAGGCACGCAACCCTCACAGCGAATCGCGGCGCCTAAGACGACTGGGCCACCCGTGCTCCCACCCTAGGAGTGAGAAAGGCGGGATTTAGACGCGTTTTAGTTTCTATTTCGTTGTGAGGGGAGGGGCGGTCGGGTAGCCTAGTGGTTAAAGCGTTCGCTCGTCACGCCGAAGACCCGGGTTTGATTCCCGACATGGGTACAATGTGTGAAGCCCATTTCTGGGGTCCCCCGCCGTGATATTGCTGGAATATTGCTAAAAGCGGCGTAAAACCATACTCATTCATTCATTCATTGTGAGGGGAAACCCAAAATGTCATGTCATGATGGTCATTATGTCATGATGGTCATGATGTCATGATGGTCTGCATGGATGATGGAATGAGGGGATTGGCTATGGGAACCTGCCGGCGAAGTGTCGCAACTCTCTACAGTCAGTAAAACTGTATTTCCCCCCAGTCTCTTGCTTTTATCAAAATACACTATTTTTAGTTCTTCTTTATTAACGATTCATTCAATATGATGCCTCATTAACTTCACACAATTTACATCATGCTTCATTCCCGTCACTCATGCCATGTAATCATCAAACTTACCCAGGAAGCACACGCAAGTCGCTGTTACAACCTCGTTATTCCATTTCTGTACAAGACCGCCTCCGTGGTCTTGTGGTAGAGTGTCCGATCGGAGAGCGGAAGGTCCGGAGTTCGATCCCCGGCCGCGTCATCCAAAAAGACGTTTAATGAATGTACTTGTTGTTACCTTGTCTGGCGCTCGGCATTAAGGGGCTAAAACAAGGACTTGTCGGCTCGGAGTCAGTATACAGTGTCTGAGTTGGGTATTCATGTTAAACATGGTATCTCAGTGAGCTAGCTCTATAGCACTATAAATCGGCATCAGTCCGGACTAGTACAAGCAGCCACTCACACACATACACATATAAGTGCAATAATCTTGGACACGGCGTTAATCCCAATTTCACCCCACCTCACCTCACCGTTACTGTCCTGACGGTCTAACTGCCCTCCCTTTTATGTTATTCTTTCCGTACACCGCTTGGCTGGCAACGCTTCCCCATCGTCACCCATATTCGTTCAACATCCTTTTAAAGTTACCCCTCTTACGCTGCCCTTTATGCTCTATTACTTCTCCTAATTAAAGAGGGCTGTCGGGTAGCCTAGTGGTTAAAGCGTTCGCTCGTCACGCCGAAGACCCGGGTTCGATTCTCGACATGGGTACAATGTGTGAAGCCGAATGAAAATTTATGCACTAAATCTAACTGTTAATCAAGAAAACATGTCTAAATATATGGATATTTGTATATGGTATTGGCTTCATTACTATGTGCTATGTGCTATTCTTTCTGTACATCTGGCTTCATTACCCGTGTGCTTCATTACCTATGAGTTATTTGTTATTCTTACTGCACATCTGGCTTCATTACCCGTGTGCTTCATTACCTATGAGTTATTTGTTATTCTTACTGCACATCTGGCTTCATTACCCGTGTGCTTCATTACCTATGAGTTATTTGTTATTCTTACTGCACATCTGGCTTCATTACCCGTGTGCTTCATTACCTATGAGTTATTTGTTATTCTTACTGCACATCTGGCTTCATTACCCGTGTGCTTCATTACCTATGAGTTATTTGTTATTCTTACTGCACATCTGGCTTCATTACCCGTGTGCTTCATTACCTATGAGTTATTTGTTATTCTTACTGCACATCTGGCTTCATTACTCGTGTGCTTCATTACCTATGAGTTATTTGTTATTCTTACTGCACATCTGGCTTCATTACCCGTGTGCTTCATTACCTATGAGTTATTTGTTATTCTTACTGCACATCTGGCTTCATTATCTGTGTGCTTCATTACCTATGAGTTATTTGTTATTCTTACTGCACATCTGGCTTCATTACCCGTGTGCTTCATTACCTATGAGTTATTTGTTATTCTTACTGTACATCTGGCTTCATTACCCGTGTGCTTCATTACCTATGAGTTATTTGTTATTCTTACTGCACATCTGGCTTCATTACTCGTGTGCTTCATTACCTATGAGTTATTTGTTATTCTTACTGCACATCTGGCTTCATTATCTGTGTGCTTCATTACCTATGAGTTATTTGTTATTCTTACTGCACATCTGGCTTCATTACCCGTGTGCTTCATTACCTATGAGTTATTTGTTATTCTTACTGCACATCTGGCTTCATTACTCGTGTGCTTCATTACCTATGAGTTATTTGTTATTCTTACTGCACATCTGGCTTCATTATCTGTGTGCTTCATTACCTATGAGTTATTTGTTATTCTTACTGCACATCTGGCTTCATTACCCGTGTGCTTCATTACCTATGAGTTATTTGTTATTCTTACTGTACATCTGGCTTCATTACTCGTGTGCTTCATTACCTATGAGTTATTTGTTATTCTTACTGCACATCTGGCTTCATTACCCGTGTGCTTCATTACCTATGAGTTATTTGTTATTCTTACTGTACATCTGGCTTCATTACTCGTGTGCTTCATTACCTATGAGTTATTTGTTATTCTTACTGCACATCTGGCTTCATTACTCGTGTGCTTCATTACCTATGAGTTATTTGTTATTCTTACTGTACATCTGGCTTCATTACCCGTGTGCTTCATTACCTATGAGTTATTTGTTATTCTTACTGCGCATCTGGCTTCATTACCCGTGTGCTTCATTACCTATGAGTTATTTGTTATTCTTACTGCACATCTGGCTTCATTACCCGTGTGCTTCATTACCTATGAGTTATTTGTTATTCTTACTGCACATCTGGCTTCATTATCTGTGTGCTTCATTACATGTGTGTTATTTGTTAGTCTTACTTTAAATTTCTGTACAAATCCCTAATTTCATTAACTTGTGTACGATGCTTCATTCAATTCACTGGTTCTACGTTATGCTTCATTTGATTGACTCATTACTTGTCGATAGATCCACTCATACCACGTGGAGCTTCATTCCTGTCACATATTCTACATGATGTCATATCCCATTTACTCATTCATTCCCCTCGCTCAGTCTATCTGGTGCTTCAGTCTATCCCCTCTTTCTATACTTCACTCATTTTAACACATTTTAATTCATTAACATCCATCAGATCTTTAATATATTTAACCTGTTTCACTTCCTTTCCCAGTTCCTACATAGACCTGTGAAGATCCGGGGTAGATAAGGTCTTCAGCAACCCATGCATGCCGTACAAGGTGACTATGCTTGTCGTAAGAGGCGACTAACGGGATCGGGGGGTCAGGCTCGCTGACTTGATTGATGCATGTCATCGTATCCCAATTGCAGAGATCGATGCTCGTGATGTCAATCATTGGATTGTCTGGTCCAGACAGGATTATTTACAGACCGCCGTCATATAACTGGACTATTGCTGAGTGTGGCGTTAAACAGCCAAAAAAGAAACAAAAACAACAAACAAACAAACAAACAAACAAACAAACAAACAATCCTATATGGACGGAGAAGGCCTTCAGCCTACTTTTCTTCACTTCACGGTGTCGGTAGTGTAGCCTAGTAGGTCAAGGGTTGGCATCAATTTCACACATGGGTACACTGTGTGAGGTCTAAACGTGGCGTTCCCCGCCTAAAATATTGCAACAAGTGAGCTGAAATTCAACTGACGCATTGTGTACAGGTCTGTATAATGTAAAATGAATATCCATTGTATGCAGCTGAGCAAACTGACGACGAAGGATCGCTTGATGAGTCAGGGACAGACACATCGTGACCAGGAATATCCATTGTATGCAGCTGAGCAAACTGACGACGAAGGATCGCTTGATGAGTCAGGGACAGACAAATCGTGATCAGGAATATCCATTGTATGCAGCGTAGCACACTGACGACGAAGGATCGCTTGATGAGTCAGGGACAGACACATCGTGACCAGGAATATCCATTGTATGCAGCTGAGCAAACTGACGACGAAGGATCGCTTGATGAGTCAGGGACAGACAAATCGTGACCAGGAATATCCATTGAATGCAGCTGAGCAAACTGACGACGAAGGATCGCTTGATGAGTCAGGGACAGACAGACAAATCGTGACCAGGACACAAACACCAAAACATGCAGTTTCTCCATTCATTGTTCAGAACCAAATGGATCCAGGAAAGGGAAACAAAAAGTGGTATTGTTGAGACAACTCGTATGACGGGCTGTCAGGCGTTTTTTTCATGGCTCATCCAGCAGTTTTCCGCTTCCTCATCTGACCAACTGAAGAGACTAACCTGTACAGCACCATGATAGGTGAAAGTGATGAGCATCAAATGACTGTGAAAGATCTTCACAATGTTATGCTAATAAAATGACAAAACCCTTTCCATATCCAAAAGAAATATCTGCTTAAAGCAGAGTCGATTGTACGATTCGGACTATATCATGAGCATGTGTTATCAGTCACTATCAAATAATAATGATACCAGTGTTCGCGAAAAGGTGAGCGTATCCTGCCTTACCGGTAGCACCCGTCCCAAACACATGCAAAGGAAAGCCAATTGTTCACCTGAAAAAACACGGGAACACATGGTACAAGTCAAAATAGGGAATTGCATCGGACATCATTTTTGTCACTGATGCGCCAAATTTGGAAATGTCCTCCGCATGTCTACCATAAAACTTTGTGAAAGCTTTATCTTGGTAGAAAGAGAAATTATACTGCTTAGAATTTGTTTCTTGTTTAACACCGCAAGCAGTAATAATATTCTGGTTATATGTCTTTAAACGTTCTAATTCTAACGGGGCATAATAATGATAAGATGCGGGACTAAACCACGTTAAAAAGGCTATAACAATTCCGGGTTAGAGTTGGTTCCTGGTAACATTTTCTTGTCCATGCCGCTTCACTCGCTTCACTATGCAAATCTCCCAAGAAAAATACATAATGTGGAGTGAAATTCTGCTGTAACAAGGACCGCCTCCGTGGTCTAGTGGTAGAGCGTCCGCCCGGAGAGCGGAAGGTCCGGGGTTCGATCCCCGGCCGCGCCATACCAAAAGACGTTAAAAGATGGTACTTATTGTTACCCTATCTGGCGCTCGGCATTAAGGGGCAAACGACTGTGTCTGAGTGGGGTATTCATGTTAAACTGCGGCATGGTATCTCAGTGTGCTAGCACTATAAATCGGCATCAGTCCGGACTAGTACAAGCAGCCACACATACACACACACGTGCATGCACGTCGCTATATAAGTGCAATAATCTTTGACGCGACGTTAAACCCAATTTCACCTCACCTCACCTACTGTAACAAAACCTATACCCATTTGAACTTAAACCCAGTTCTCAAAATGTGAAGGTATAAACCTATTGGTGTTACATTTTTAGAGAGATACTGGTGCTTGATGTTTCGTACTGGACACCAAATCTTCCCTCAGTTGAGAGGACAAGGTATGATTAGAGCTATTTTGGGACAAAATTGTTATGACAGTAAGCAGATGTGCTTACGTGAAGAAGATCTAGACTTTGTTCATTTCAACAAGTGCATGTTTTGTGTACTTCAAACAACACTTAATTTATAATATGTCGAAAAGGTTGATAAAGTAGATGCAGACAAAAACATAAAGACATGTGATTAACAATTCTTGTTGTGTCAAGGACTTGCTCACAGATAGCTGTCAACCACTTGAACATGTGTGGAGTTTTCAAACCATGATTACAAAGTTTACAAATTAAATTTGACATTTCTTGTGGACCAAGAATGATTCTTATCCTACCTCCTCATTTCTCCAGAGGAAACTTCAAAACTAAAAGGGTTAAAGTAATGAAGAGCAAAAGGCACTAATTCACCATTTGCGTAATCTGCTCTGCTGCTCTGTCCTGCTATGCTATGCTCTGCTATGCTCGGCCTACTCTGCTCTGTTCTGCTCTGCCTGCTCTGTCCTGCTATGCTATGCTCTGCTCTGCTCTGAACTAGATTATTATTCTCAGAGATACGAGTGAATGAATGTGGGATACGAGTCGTATGCATGTTGCAACAGACGAGTTAAGCAGGTCTGTGGTTCATGGTGATTGGTCATTGGCTTATGAGTTTTTCTACGCAATGAACGAAATGTGGAGTCCTTTTGAGGGGTTTGCAGATTTTCACAATATGAAGTTGCCGAATATTGTTCTAAATACTGCAAATAATAATGACGTAATAAGAAATCGTCCTTTTATCTTTGCAGTACGTTAATCTAATTGCTTTATTTAACAGTCATGTGACATTTTAGAATGATCTACTACAATCGCACTTTAGGCTATATGGCCCAAACTATTGAAAAACCCTGCTCTGCTCTGCTCTGCTCTGTCCTGCTCAGTCCTCCTCTGCTCTGTCCTGCTCTGCTCAGTCCTGCTCTGCTCTGTCCTGCTCAGTCCTCCTCTGCTCTGTCCTGCTCTGCTCAGTCCTGCTCTGTCCTGCTCTGCTCAGTCCTCCTCTGCTCTGTCCTGCTCTGCTCTGTCCTGCTCAGTCCTCCTCTGCTCTGTCCTGCTCTGCTCAGTCCTGCTCTGTCCTGCTCTGTCCTCCTCTGTCCTGCTTTGTCCTGCTCTGCACTGCTCTCCTCTGTCCTGCTCAGTCCTGCTTTGCTCTGTCCTGCTCAGTCCTCCTCTGCTCTGTCCTGCTCTGCTCAGTCCTGCTCTGCTCTGTCCTGCTCTGCTCAGTCCTGCTCTGCTCTGTCCTGCTCTGCTCAGTCCTGCTCTGCTCAGTCCTGCTCTGTCCTGCTTTGTCCTGCTCTGCACTGCTCTCCTCTGTCGTGCTCAGTCCTGCCCTGTCCTGCTTTGTCCTGCCCTGTCCTGCTTTGTCCTGCTCTGCTCTGCCCTGCCCTGCCCTGCCCTGCCCTGCCCTGCCCTGCCCTGCCCTGCCCTGCTCTATTCTTGAAGTTGATACAGTGTAATGTTGTGTTCGTAGAATCTGACACGTGTGTGTTGTATGAGTCAGTCAGGTTAATGTCGCCGTTAACAATACAGACGCTTTCACTGCAGAGAAAACCAAGAACGGGCTTCCAACGTTTTGTCCTGGGAAACCGAAACCGGGTATTCGGCGTAACGAACAAACACTGCTTGACTGCCCTCGACAGGGAGATATTATACAGGCCATGTTCTGTATTGAGGAAGTCCCTCACAATGGAGCATGAATAATTAACATAATGAACAAAAAGATGTTTTTTTTAACGATTGTGAGATAAGGAGGTAAACATTGAGTGTTTTTATTTGCGGGTGTTAAGTATTTTCCAAAGCCCAGAATTTGCATATGAAACCCAGGGTGTTCGTACGATGTGAGTTAGGTTTAACGCCGCTTTGAACAGTATTATGTACAGTTATATCACGGTGTGCTGAGGGAGGAAAGCCCAAAGTAGTGCAGGTCTAAGACGTTTACAACTTTCGTGGAACTCACAAGCGCGGTTATTGCGCAGGCAAACCTAGAAACATCATCGACCCCACAGTGGATTTTCTGGCGTACCCAAGGGAAGCAACTCTGTACCACCTAATATGATCGATATACAGAGTTGTCTCCCTTAGCTGGTGATAGGATCCATTTGTGACTTTGTTTGTTTGTTGTTTAACGCCGCACTCAGCAATATCCTAGCTATATGACGGCGGTCTGTAAATAATCGAGTCTGTACCAGACAATCCAGTAATTGATATCATGAGCATCGAGCCATGAAATTGGGATACAGTGAAACACTTTATATTTTCATGGATAATAATTTCAAACGATTAGCATTAGCCCCTGTTTCAAGAGGATGACCATAAATACGACGATTGTTGGACATACGATTTTTTTATTGCATTCACATTGTGCTGTCTGTAAATAATCGAGTCTGTACCAGAAATTCCAGTAATTGATATCATGAGCAGCGAGCCACGCAATTGGGATACGGTGAAACACTTTATATTTTCATGGATAATAATTTCCCATGATTAGCATAAGCCCCTGTCTCAAGAGGATGACCATAAATACGACGATTTTTGGACATGAGATTTTTTTATTGCGTTCAATGTACAGCTAACAACCACCCTGGTGTGCCACTGTGACCGTAGCAGTATCCCCGGACCTGTAAATATATATTTGAAAATAAACAGACGTTATTTCAAGTCGACGAGAATAACACAGGGTAACTTTATTCACAGACTACCGAGGCCTATTTTCAAAAATACATGTGACGATACAGTCAAGGGCGTTTCACCGCGGTAAGGTAACCAATACATTAAAGGCGCCGCAATTAGCTATGCGTCCCTTAGGCGTGCCGGAAATCTAGAATAGGAGATTCGATCCGATTCGATCTGATTTCTAGGTTCCATACGTGAGCTCAAGGGTTGCCCTTAGTTGTAAACGTCTAAGACCTACATCACTTGGGGCTTTTCTCCCACAACAGGGGGCGGTCGGGTAGCCTAGTGGTTAAAGCGTTCGCTCGTCACGCCGAAGACCCGGGTTCGATTCCCGACATGGTTGCAATGTGTAAAGCCAATTTCTGATGTCCCCCGCCATGATATTGCTGGAATAGTGCTAAAAGCGGCGTAAAACCATACTCACTTACTCTCCTACATCAAGATGGCACGCCGTGAAATTACAAGAAATAATGTTTCTAAACAACGTTTAACAAATCTCACTCGATTAGGTAAAGATCGTTGTGAAATGTGGCTGGAATATTGCTTGATGTGGCGTTAAACAACAAACAGTGTGAGAATGGTCTGGCCGTTTTAGTATGACGTCGTACTCCGACTACGTTCGTTCATTTGTAGATGTGACTTACATGCACAGCCTCACGCCCATTTCACAAGAATTGGAGTATGTGATTCCGTTTGATCCACAGACCGGGGCGTAGTTCCGAGGACATGCTCTCAGACAATCGCGAATGTCATCCGCACCAACCGCTGTAAAAATAACTGAATTAGTTCCCGAAAGTTTACGTTAAATTCTAACAAATGGTTTGGTCACTGGAACCTTCCAATAGGTTGGCGCAGAAATTATCTTTGCAGAGTTGCGTCCCTTGCCATATTCTGATGACCACATGTTCGGATCCTAGAATCGTCCTGATCCAGCTTTGTCAGCACTATGCCAATGCCTGTTGGTGCCCCCAAAGTGATACGATTTTACATCTTTAAGTTAGGATTTTCTTCCACATTAAGCTGACACAGAGTGATATAATCGATGACCCAGTCACTAACAATACGTTTAGTTAGACCATAGGGAGACCTCGAACTCCATAAACTTTGTTTAAGACCCAAAAACTTCGTTGTCACGGAAGAGGCCACATTGGCATCAGAGGATGATATATCGAAATCCATACATTTTCTTCGGCCTTGATGACTTAGAGTTAACGAGAGAGAGAGTGAGTGAGTTGGGTTTAACACCGCTTTTAACAGTATTCCAGTCATATCACGGCGTGTCAGCTTAATGTGGGAGGAAAGCCCGAAATGATGCAGGTCTCAGACGTTTACCACTTCGGTGGAACCCACGAGCACGGGTATGGTGCAGACAAACCTAGAAACATAATCGGGGCGAACCGGGATTCGAACCCACAATCATAGGTTTCTGGCGTGCCCAAATTAAAGGACGCAATTCTGCACAGCGAATCGCGGCGCCTTATGGGGCCGTCACACCATGACGTTCTGGTCAGCGTTCTATGACGTTTGAGGAAACGTTGGTAGTCGCCCATGGTCGCTGGGATAGCGCCAGAAGAGCGTTGTGTGAACGCTAGTGAACGTCGGTGATCGCCGGGAATCGGCGGAGAACGCTGGTCCGGAAAAAAAGTTTTGAACATGCACAAAAGTTCTCACTGAGACCAGCGTTCTTCAACGTTTAATTTTAAACGCTGAAGAACGTTTAAGAACGTTTATCGTTAGTCAGTCGTTACTCTAGCGTTACTTGGTTGTTACTAATCGTTTGCTTTGCATTGAACGACTCACTGGCGACCTGTCAACGACCGCTGAACGGTCCCCTAGCGCACGCAGCGTGTGACTAAAGTGGGGTTGGAATATCAAGAACACAATCAACATACAACAAGTATGCGGTGGAAATACAAGCAGGCGCTACACTCACCAGCCAAAAGCAGGGCACAAACGACGAAGGCTCGTAACATCGTGTACACTTGTGTGTGTTGTGCACAACTGCTGTGTCAGTTTTCCTTAGGTTTATCTGTTCTGGCCTGTTTATCTACTGTCAAAGAGTTTTATCTGTGTGTTTTGTTGTCGAATCCATGTTACCGATTAGAAGGACACGAACTGAAGTTATCCAAACTTGGTTGGGAATGTCTCGAAAGGAGAGCACGACTGACATTTTCAAAGCTGGTTTTTGACGGTTATATCGTCGATTTATCTCCCTTATAAGAAGTGCGTAGTACGCGCAAACGAACATATGAAATAGGTTGATGTCCTGTCAATCTCGAAATTCCTTTAAAGTCTGTATACCCTTCGTTAAACGTTAGCCCTGAAATATTATAACCATTTTAAATGTAAGCATCACTATATTTTTTGTTGGAAATTTTTATACATGTAAGTGCCTGTTTGAAGTTCAAACTTTTACAACTTTGTACACCACTATCCTACATGGAAAAACTGCATTCATTGACCCGTGGGGCATGTGTTACTAAACGTGGTGACCACAGAAAGAGTTACATGTACATATCTAGTAACTTCAGAGGTTCAGGGCGATTTGTTAGAAATCCAAGCAAATGCCATCTTTTACTGAGAAAACAATGGGTGAAATACTGGACTTCCTCATTTATAACACCTCCGTAAACTCTCGGGGTAAAATATTTCGACAAGACGTAGGCCCATGGCCACACATTGTGACCCCCTTATAAAGCTTCTTCCTTGTCTGTTTCTTTATACATATGAATCGGAATTCCTGCTCGGATTGACAAAGTCAAAACAAGGTAATATGTCCAAGAAGTTTAACTCAAATTTCAGGTACATCGATCTGATGTCATTTAATGACCATCAAAATACCGTTTTCCCTGCCACTGATTTACCCGGCGGAACTAGAAATGAAAGAGCCCAGTGAGACTGTCTCGTCTGTTTCATATTTAGATCCACGAATACAGATTCAGAGTGACTAAAAAACTATCCACACGACTGTGTTACAACAGGGATGACTTTCAAGTTTCCCTTCATGTCGAGCAAGATTCCAAATGCTTAAGCCTTTGTTGTTTTCCTTTCAAAACTTGTGATACAAACGAGCATGCTCTTTCTACCACGACTCCAAAGAGCTTGATACGACTCTTGCTCAACAGTTTTCTGATCAAGGATACAACATTCAAGGCCTCAATATTCAATAGCTGAATTCACAAATTTGTAATGCTGTCCAAAAACGTTCTCCACAGGTTCTATGACGTCATCGTTAGAGTCGAAATAAGTTCCGGTTAGAGCTTTCTTCCTGTTTGGGAACAGTGAGTGAGTGAGTTGGGTTTAACGCCGCTTTTAACAGTATTCCAGTCATATCACGGCGTGTCAGGTTAATGTGGGAGGAAAGCCCGAAGTGATGCAGGTCTCAGACGTTTACCACTTTGGTGAAACCCACGAGCACGGGTATGGTGCTGACAAACCTAGAAACCGGGATTCGAACCCACAATCATAGGTTTGTGGCGTGCCCAAGAGACGCAACTCTGCACAGCGAATCGCAGCGCCTTAGACAACTGGGCCACCCGTGCCCCACGTTTGGAAACAGATGGAAGTCTGACGGAGTCAGATCAGGAGAATAAGATGGGTGCTAAAGGAGTTCAAAGCCACGCCTGTGATTGTTGTCATGGCAGTGTCTGACTTGTTCACTGGCGCATTGTTCTGTCGGAAGAGCACACAATTTCCCAGCTTCCCCTGCTTCGTAGTCTTAATTTCATACCATAATAATTGCCTCAAAGGTGCATCATAATATCCTCCTCCATCATAATATCCTCCGGGGGCAGTCGGTAGCCTAGTGGTTAAAGCGTTCGCTCGTCAGGCCGAAGACCCGGGTTCGATTCCCGACATGGGTACAATGTGTGAAGCCAATTTCTGGTATCCCCCGCCGTGATATTGCTGGAATATTGCTAAAAGCGGCGTAAAACCATACCCACTCACTCACTCACTCACTCACTCCTTCGAAAGTTCGTCGCGAACACCTTGTGTCATCACTGATTTTCACTGCGTATGCACTATGGAATCTGTTCGTCGGATGATCTGGACTCGATATCATTTGACGTTGGCGTTTTGCATTTCTATGTGAGGCTAAGGATTTACCAATCAACCCTTTTACTTTATAACCATGATATGTACTGTAAACTACGGATAAAACGAACTCAAATGGACTACTAATTTTAGTTCGTTATTACCGTAGTTCGTTATAAACATATATACAGCATAACTACAGCAAATAGTCGGGACCAAAAAAGTAAGTTCGTTATATCCGTCAGTTCGTTATAAGCGTGTTCGCTATAACCGTAGTTTACTGTATTCCGTAAATCTGTTTAAATTGAACTCTAACAAACCCGATCTGTGTCAATACCGGACCATATACACGGCCTCGTGGGGGCACGGGTGGCCCAGTCGTCTAAGGCGCCGCGATTCGCTGTGCAGAGTTGCGTCCCTTGGCCACGCCAGAAACCTATGTTTGTGGGTTCGAATCCCGGTTCGCCCCAATTATGTTTCTAGGTTTGTTAGCACCATACCCGTGCTCGTGGGTTTCACCGAAGTGGTAAACGTCTGAGACCTGCATCACTTCGGGCTTTCCTCCCACATTAAGCTGACACGCCGCGATATAACTAGAATACTTTTAAAAGCGGCGTTAAACCCAACTCACTCACTCACTCACACACGGCCTCGTATTTAAAGCCGTACTTTAGTGTCAAACTAAATCTGATTTCTTTCTGGGTTACTGACTGAAATTGTGAGACCAATTTATCACGTAACTGACACTCCTTTACCCGGAACCACTGTTCCACATCTCACTCATACGTTTGGTAATAAACTGTTCTTTAAACATTTTTACAACAAAGGTTGAATGAAAGTAAGAATGAAATAAACTGTTGTGAACAGGTTTCATTGACTTCAATGTGCATATCGCGTGCTAGATAACAATGTAGTGACTCTTACATGATCATGAATGATATTTCCGTGTAACTCACACTCCTTTACCCGGAACCACTGTTCTACATCTCACTCAAACGTTTGATATCAATGTAGTAACTCTTACATGAATGATATTTCTGTGTGATGTGGACAGCTGTCTCAACCGGACCTGTATCTCAGTCTCACGCCATGTGTATCAATCAGGGTGGGTGAACGGGGTAGTATCTCGTGGTAGATACCTAGACGATAAAGCACATGGAAATTGATAGTTTGGGATTTATGGAAAATGATTTTTTCGAGTTTTCACGACTTTGACTTGGACTAAAAATGGCGGTAGTGCTCGGTTCCGGGGCAGATCTTGAAAAACGTACAATATTTCTTGCCTTGCACACAATCAGACATGTCATAATGTCGGGGGATATGAATATTTCATGCTTGTTCTTTATATTGTATATGGGTTATTCATAAATTATCTGACACAGTTGTTCAGAATGCGAGTTTATTCTCTTGTTGAACAATGTCATTCCTTTCCTCAAATATGTTTTCGGTAAGAATTGTAAGTGAATAAACTGAAAAATTATTTACTTCAAATGTATAAATACTATATACGTCGTATTCATCCTGAAGGAGTGAGTGAGTGAGTTGGGTTTTACGCCGCTTTTAGCAATATTCCAGCAATATCACGGCGGGGGACCCCAGAAATGGGCTTCACACATTGTACCCATGTCGGGAATCGAACCCGGGTCTTCGGCGTGACGAGCTAACGCTTTAACCACTAGGCTACCCGACCGCCCCATCCTGAAGGTGTTAAATTGTAGATAGTGGGCACAAGGAAACCGAAACGTCACAATGTCACGTGGTCACAATGAGTGACCCAGTTGGTTGAGTAATGACTCCTGATGTGGATTGTTACTCATACTATCAACCTCTGGTATCACGTGTCTAAGCTCGTGTGAGTGCGTGAGTGCATTTAACGCTTTTGCTAACTGCATCTCAGTTCTATCAAGCTGTGTCAACTTCACTTGGCCGGAAAGCACACGATGAGATCGTGGTCATTTAACACTTTAGTGAAGCTCATGAACACAAGTACATTTAACAGGATCATGTATTCTCTTGACACCATCGCAAAACATCATGAAGAAGCCACAACAGTACTCATATTTTCCAACAAAATCACATCTAAAAATGAGACATCAGCAAGTACATATAATAAAATGTGTATTATCATTTTTCGTCAGGAAATCAAAAGGTTATCTCCTTGTTACCACCTCCAGGTTCAGCTTAACATGGGTCCTCCTTTGGTCAAAAGTTTGTTCCCCCTCTAATGAGTGTGGCACGCGCTGCACACGGGTATCACACGCGTGGCGGACGGGTTCCACACGAGTGACGAACGGGGTGCACACATGTGTTCAACGCAGTGCACACGGGTATCACACGCGTGGCGGACGGGTTCCACACGAGTGACCAACGGGGTGCACACGGGTTGCGTAACGCGTTGCCCATGCGTGTAAGGGGAATGAACTTCTAGGCAGTAGTGTACATGAATGGTGCTGACAGCCGATTATTTGGTCGAATGTAGGTTTCGAATCCATTAGCAGTAGTATAGTAAAGAGACATAACCTGCAATCTGTGTAACACATGATCTGTCGCACATAGAAACATAATATACTTGGATAGTCATGTAATATGTCCTTTCAAATTTATGTGAGAACTAAACAAACGAGTAAACAAACTAATAACACGGATAACATGCCTGAAATACCATGCTGCTTCACGACGCTTTAGTTGAAGCTGTTTGGTAAATACAAGCACATTTGTATAAAACTAACTGATTGACTAATTGTCAGAAATGTAATTCATATCAGGACCCGTGAAGTTCCGGGTTAGAATAGGTCTTCAGCAACCCATGCTTGCCCAATAAGGCGACTATGCTTGTCGTAAGAGACGACTAACGGGATCAGGTGGTCAGACTCCATGACTTGGTTGATGCATGTCATCTTATCCCAATTGCGTGGATCGATGCTCATGATGTCAGTCACTGGGTTGTCGGGTTCAGACTCGATTATTTACAGACCGCTGTCATATAGCTGGAATAATGCTGAGTGCGCTATAAACAACAAACAAACAAACGTATCAGGAAATATTTTGTTTTGATAAAACTCCGCAACTGGGAAGCATGTGTGGAATGTACATCATTCAAAACAGTTGAGGGAAACAAATTGTGACGGAGTGACAGGTTACAAATTTATTTTAGAAAACAATCGAAATATATACACAATCTCGAACGAGACATGTCCGCCGAACCACCCAAGCCAACCAGCCTGGAAATTTTTCAGAAAATAACATTTCGCGAAGCCGTTTAAATTGATAATGCTAGCATCATTTGCTGCACATATAACCTCAGTCGCTTATGAATTCAGATGCCTCCTCTCATACGAGAATGGCGGATAAAACGCGATACATTAGACAATGGTATATCGACGATTCACCTGTGGAGTAAATGGGTGGGGGAGTATTGTTTTCCGCCGCTTTTAGCACTTTTCCAACAATATCAGCTTGAGGAAAACCAGAAATAGGCTTTAAGACACTGTAATAATGTTGGTAAGCGAACCCAGACATTCGATGTGCCGAGCGAAGGCTATATCCACAAGGCTATCGTACCTCATCATCAATTCCCTATATAGACTTGTACCATGTTTTCCCGCTTTTATTCAAACAATTGACTTGCCTTTGCATGTGTTTGTGACTGGTGCCGCCAAGAGGGCAGGATAGTCACGCTCACGTACCTTTTCACAAACATCTGATTTGTTCTCCATCACAATTTGATGGTGATTCATAAAAAAAACGTCCCGTGAAGATTCCGGGGTAGAATAGGTCTTCAGCAACCCATGCTTGCCGTTAAAGGTGACTATCCTTGTCGTTAAAGGCGACAAACGAGATCGGGTGGTCAGGCTCGCTGACTTGGTTGATGCATGTCATCGATCCCAAATGCGTGGATTGATGCTCATGATATCAATCACTGGATTGTCTGGTCCAGACTCGATTATTTACAGACCGCCGTCATATAGCTGGAATATTGCTGAGTGCGGCGTTAAACAACAAACCAACCAACCAATCAATCAAAAAAACATGCTCATGATTTAAACATGTAGTCGGAATCGTTCAATCCAGATTGGAAATGAATATGGACAGGATTTTGTCGCTCTTTTCTGAACGTTTACCACATTAGTGTAACCACGAGCACGATTACGGTACTGAAAATCCAGGAACTGGGATTCGAACTCACGATCATAGGTGTCTGGCATGCCTAAGGGCCTCAAATCTCACAGCGAAACGCTGTAATTGTACATCCTACACATTCATCTCCATACTGTTGGCAAATATGCAGTTCTTTGCATTTGCTGCTGTTGAACTGTTCCGTTCAGGTATAGTTTAAGTTTCCGCACTGGATAGGTGTGTGCGTCCATCACATACATTCCTCTTGATACTCTTGAAAATCACTGCTTCAGTGGTCGATGACACATTTCTAAGTCTCACAGCACTCACCAGTTGTACCGCGACCAGTAAACGGGCAACGAAGAGGTTTCCGCACATATATACAGATATGACTGGTTGGTTGACCAGAAACAGACTAGATTGACAATCTCCTTCCCCATCCACGTCTGGTCACTCTGCGAAGTAACATCCTCAGTCTGTTGAAGAAGGCTTTTCTGGCATACTCTTCCTCGGCCCACATCAGGTAGGTTGTCGTCTGCAACATGGCTCTCATAGCTTTGGTCACGTGGCGTGTGTCTATCTCCTCTAGCATCACCACCACCAGGAGGCGCTGTCCATTTTCCAGCACGTGACGCTGGATGAGATTCAATTCAAACTGGCACCATCCACTCTGGGCAAACTCATTGGAGAGGACGATGACGATTTTTCGGCTTGTTTCAATGGCATCAACAATGTTATCCACGATTAATTTACCAACCTCAAAGTCCCTGTCGTGTACACAGAGTTTAAGGTTCTCTTTGACTTCAAGAACTGGAAGTAGAGTCTTAATGACCCAGGGGCGATCTGGTGCAGAGTAAGCTACAAACACGTCATATTCGTATTCCCGTGTGTCCACCTCCTGACGTTGACTGTACCTGACCATGTAGATGAAGTATCGGATGTGCCAACGGTAACGATACATCACTGCTCCTGTCACGAGGAACACAATGAGCAAAATACTTAAGGTGAGAGTTGTAATCTTGACATCCATACCCAATAAACAAGTGATTTCCGACATTTCCAAATCTAGCAAGCTATGTCCATCAAGGTCCCCTGGGCTGGCACAGTTGTATAACAACGTGAGCTTTGGATCTTTTTTAAAACCAAATATTCTGGGCTGTTTGCGCATCCATTCAATGAACCAATATATTTTGCATTCACAGGAAAAGGGATTTCTAGAGAGATTAATATCAGTTAAATTCCTTCTTAAGAGTTGGAAAGATGACTCATCTAAAGTTGTTATTTTATTAATTCCCATGAATAACTTCTTCAAATTTGTCATATTTTTCAATGGCGACAAATCTGAGATACTATTATCATATAGTGCAAGGCTCTCTATGTTCGTCAATTTTTCAGTTATAACGCGTGGTATAGAACGTAGGCCGTTACCTCCCATGACCAAAATCCTGAGTGAAGTGAGATCTCCAAGATATGCATTGAACTCATATTCTGAGGTGATTTTGAATACATTATCATTAAGATTTAATAACTCTAACGAAGAACATCCTTCAAATACACGTAAGTTAATCTTAGGCTCCGTAAACCAAATATGATTTTCACGAAAATATATTTGCTTCAGTTTCGAATTATTGAACACTGCTCGTTGTATATTGTGCATCGCACATCCAACATAGGACAGGGTGATCTTGAAAATGTTTGGAAGCATCGAAAACTGATTGGATCTTAATTCTTGGAACAGATTACCATTTAGGTACAAATGCGTGAGGCTTATAAGACAGTTGTAATTGTCTCGCTGAATATATTTCATAACATTCCACTGAATTTTGAGGATTTGAAGAGTAGGGAACCGTGAACTGTTGCTTTCTTTAAAACAGAAATCGGGAAAATCATAAAGGTGATTGTTATCGAGATTCAGATATCTTAAAGAGGTAAAACTTGCATCGTGTAGATGTATAAGGCTTAGATTATTTCCCCCAAAGTCAAGTGAGATCATGTGATTCAGTCTCATGAGTGCGGTCATTGGGAACATATATGTGTTGTCCAGAAATATAAGCTTGAAATTATCAATACTTTCTAAATGCTTAAAAAAGCCATCAGAAATATTTTGAAGGTTCATTGAACTTATATTCAATGTTGTGAGTGGCGTCAAGGCGATTCCATAGAAAGCTTCCTTTAGTATCCCCTCGGGAATGATGTTTAGAGAGAGGTCAAGTGTTTTCAAAAACGTCAAATTACCAAAGGCGTCCTTAGCTACGTATTCAATGGTGTTATTTTTCAGACTGAGAATGACGATCCTGTATGGAGAATACACTGACAGAGAAGTGTTTGAGAGATAGGGAATTGTGCCATTCTCCAAATACAGCCTTGTAGACATATTACTGGACAGTGTTGGAGGTAAGGGTAAAAGGTCCTCTGTCAAGTTCAAGTGTGTGCAGCGCATAACAATCTGTTCATGTCTATGTCGAAACTTAATCCATGTCTTATAACAGTTGCATCGCGAGTCACAGTCCAGTTTCTTCGAATTCCTCAACGGCAACAACGCCGACAATGCTAGCATCCACATGAACACTGCAACAACGGCTACACCCTGGAGTTGTTTTAACGCCTTCATTTCGTCTTTCTTGTTGTGTCCTGATTGCTGTTCTGAAAAGATGTGTAAAGTGCGTGAGTGAGTTGGGATTAACACCGCTTCAAACTTCACGTCAACATAATGTGGATGGAAAGCCGAAAGGCAAAGCAAAGCTTAACCGTTTACCTGTATGTTTAAACCAGCGTGCACAGGTATGATGCTGACACAGGATCAGCAGGTGAGAGGGAGTGGATGGATAACTGTTTCAGGATGATATACAGTAGGATACAATCGGATTAGATTTTCCTTTGTCAGTTTGCTCTTCGAAAATCGATTCTTTTGACTTGTAAATGTGTAAAGCCCATTGTTGGAGTCCATGATTCCGCGTAAGCTAATCGGTCTAAAGGATTTTCAATTGTTCAACCGCAGAGGTCAAAGTCGTAAAGTCGGTTGCAAAATGTTACACCAAGACAAGATCAGCCCTGGATTAAGCCCGAAGTGATTGATGCAGGTCTCAGACGCAAGGGACGCAAGGGACGCAGCTCGCGGCGCCTTAGACGACTGGGCCACCCGTGAATGTATGTCGGATACTTACAGCATAATGTGTTGTGTGCTGAATGTATGTGGGATACTTACAGCATGATGTGTGGTGTGCTGAATGTATATAGGATACTTACAGCATAATGTGTTGTGTGCCGAATGTATGTGGGATACTTACAGCATAATGTGTTGTGTGCTGAATGTATATGGGATACTTACAGCATAATGTGTTGTGTGCTGAATGTGTATGGGATACTTACAGCATAATGTGTTGTGTGCTGAATGTATATGGCATACTTACAGCATAATGTGTTGTGTGCTGAATGTATATGGGATACTTACAAAATAATGTGTTGTGTGCTGAATGTATATGGGATACTTACAGCATAATGTGTTGTGTGCTGAATGTATTTGGGATACTTACAGCATGATGTATTGTGTGCTGAATGTACCCTGGATACTTACAGCATAATGTGTTGTGTGCTGAATGTATTTGGGATACTTACAGAATAATGTGTTGTTTGCTGAATGTGTATGGGATACTTACAGCATAATGTGTTGTGCACTGAATGTGTATGGGATACTTACAGCATAATGTGTTGTGTGCTGAATATACCTGGGATACTTACAGCATAATGTGTTGTGTGCTGAATGTACCTGGGATACTTACAGCATGGTGTGTTGTGTGCTGAATGTATGTGGGATACTTACAGCATAATGTGTTGTGTGCTGAATGTATATGGGATACTTACAGCATAATGTGTTGTGTGCTAAATGTATGTGGGATACTTACAGGATAATGTGTTGTGTGGTGAATGTATATGTGATACTTACAGCATAATGTGTTGTGTGCTGAATGTGTATGGGATACTTACAGCATAATGTGTTGTGTGCTGAATGTATCTGGAATGCTTACAGCATAATGTGTTGTGTGCTGAATGTTTATAGGATACTTACAGCATAATGTGTTGTGTGGTGAATGTTTATGGGATACCTACAGCATAATGTGTTGTGTGCTGAATGTATCTGTGATACTTACAGCATAATGTGTTGTGTGTTGAATGTATCTGTGATTCTTACAGCATAATGTGTTGTGTGCTGAATGTATCTGTGATACTTACAGCATAATGTGTTGTGTGCTGAATGTATATGGGTTACTTACAGCATAATGTGTTGTGTGCTAAATGTATGTGGGATACTTACAGGATAATGTGTTGTGTGGTGAATGTATATGTGATACTTACAGCATAATGTGTTGTGTGGTGAATGTTTATGGGATACTTACAGCATAATGTGTTGTGTGGTGAATGTATCTGTGATACTTACAGCATAATGTGTTGTGTGTTGAATGTATCTGTGATACTTACAGCATAATGTGTTGTGTGCTGAATGTATCTGTGATACTTACAGCATAATGTGTTGTGTGCTGAATGTATCTGTGATACTTACAGCATAATGTCTTGTGTGCTGAATGTATATGGGATACTTACAGCATAATGTGTTGTGTGCTGAATGTATATGGGATACTTACAGCATAATGTGTTGTGTGCTGAATGTACCTGGGATACTTACAGGGCGGTGTGTTGTGTGCTGAATGTATATGGGATACTTACAGCATATTGTGTTGTGTGCTGAATGTTTATGGGATAGTTACAGCATAATGTGTTGTGTGCTGAATGTATATGGGATATTTACAGCATAATGTGTTGTATGCTGAATGTGTATGGGATACTTACAGAATAATGTGTTGTGTGCTGAATGTGTATGGGATACTTACAGCGTAATGTGTTGTGTGCTGAATGTGTATGGGATACTTACAGCATAATGTGTTGTGTGCTGAATGTATATGGGATACTTACAGCATGGTGTGTTGTGTGCTGAATGTATATGGGATACTTACAGCATAATGTGTTGTATGCTGAATGTATATGGGATACTCACAGCATAATGTGTTGTGTGCTGAATGTATATAAGATACTTAAAGCATAATGTGTTTTATGCTGAATTTATATGGGATACTTACAGCATAATGTGTTGTGTGCTGCATGTATTTGGGATACTTACAGCATAATGTGTTGTGCACTGAATGTATATGGGATACTTACAGCATAATGTGTTGTGTGCTGAATGTACCTGGGGTACTTACAGCATAATGTGTTGTGTGCTGAATGTATATGGGATACTTACAGCATAATGTGTTGTGTGCTGAATGTATATAAGATACTTAAAGTATAATGTGTTGTGTGCTGAATGTATTTGGGATACTTACAGCATAATGTGTTGTGCACTGAATGTATATGGGATACTTACAGCATAATGTGTTGTGTGCTGAATGTATATAAGATACTTAAAGCATAATGTGTTGGTTGCTGAATGTATTTGGGATACTTACAGCGTAATGTGTTATGCACTGAATGTATATGGGATACTTACAGGATAATGTGCTGTGTGCTGAATGTATATAAAATACTTAAAGCATAATGTGTTGTGTGCTGAATGTATATGGCATACTTACAGCATAATGTGTTTTGTGCTGAATGTGTATGGGATACTTACAGCATAATGTGTTGTGTGCTAAATGTATGTGGGATACTTACAGCATGGTGTGTTGTGTGGTGAATGTGTATGGGATACTTACAGCATAATGTGTTGTGCACTGAATGTATATGGGATACTTACAGCATAATGTGTTGTGTGCAGAATGTATGTTGGATACTTACAGCATAATGTGTTGTGCACTGAATGTATATGGGATTCTTACAGCATAATGTGTTGTGTGCAGAATTTGTATGGGATACTTACAGCATAATGTGTTGTGTGCTGAATATACCTGGGATACTTACAGCATAATGTGTTGTGTGCTGAATGTATATGGGATACTTACAGCATAATGTGTTGTGCACTGAATGTATATGGGATACTTAAAGCATAATGTGTTGTGTGCTGAATGTACCTGGGATACTTACAGCATGGTGTGTTGTGTGGTGAATGTATGTGGGATACTTACAGCGTAATGTGTTGTGCACTGAATGTATATGGGATACTTACAGCATAATGTATTGTGTGCTGAATGTGTATGGGATACTTACAGCATAATGTGTTGTGTGCTAAATGTATGTGGGATACTTACAGCATGGTTTGTTGTGTGGTGAATGTATGTGGGATACTTACAGCGTAATGTGTTGTGCACTGAATGTATATGGGATACTTACAGCATAATGTGTTGTGTGCTGAATGTGTATGGGATACTTACAGCATAATGTGTTGTGTGCAGAATGTATGTGGGATACTTACAGCATAATGTGTTGTGTGCAGAATGTATATGGGATACTTACAGCATAATGTGTTGTGTGGTGAATGTATATGGGATACTTAAAGCATAATGTGTTGTGTGCTGAATGTATATGGGATACTTACAGCATAATGTGTTGTGTGCTGAATGTATATGGGATACTTACAGCATAATGTGTTGTGTGCGGAATGTGTGTGGGAACTTAGGGGGTACATGGAGAGATGAGGGAGTGTTTGGACGTCATGTGGAGGAAGCAATGTCTCATGGTTGTGTTGATGAATGAGGCAATAATTAGGGGTTGTTTGGAGGGATGAAGCAATAATTGGAGGTTGTTTTAAGGGATGAAGCAAGAATTGGGGGTTGTTTTGAGGGATGAAGCAATAATTGGAGGTTGTTTGGAGGGATGAACCAATAATTGGAGGTTGTTTGGAGGGATGAAGCAAAAATTGGGGGTTGTTTGGAGGGATGAAGCAATAATTGGAGGTTGTGTGGATACACACACACACACACACACACACACACACACACACACACACACACACACACACACACACACACACACACACACACACACACACACACACACACACACACACACACACACACACACACACAGAGTATCAGTCAGGGAAGGTAGCAAAATGACATTTAAATGTATTTATAAATTATTTTTTTTTTTTTCTTCCTTTTTGAGTTACAAACACTTAAATGGACATCCCTTTTTAGGTTCAAGTCTTCGCTCGTTATGGGTCAGACTCGGGTTCGATTCCTCATATATTCACCTGGAATATTTGCTAAAAGTGCGTAAAACCCAACTCACTCAGTCATGTTTCAACGGTATTAAATCTATCTTGCTTATTTTGAGAACCACCAAAGGGACACAGTAATATCACTCTCTGACATCCCTTCATAAAGGGTACAATAAGCCAAGCGATTGTATTCTATTTCAATCGGCAAACATTAAGATCACATGTCCATTGATTATATGAAGAAGGTTTTATTAAAGTCCGTCACAACCATAGCCCATTCACGAACTCTCTACCACCAGTCACAAATTCCCACTGTCGTAGGCGCTTTGCAACCATGCAGGAGTTGAAGTCGAAACCGCCTGGCAGTTATGCTGACAAACACACCCCAAGCTAAATTGTCTTAATAGTCAATTTGTATTTGTATTTGATGTTTGTTTGTTGTTTAACGCCGCACTCAGCAATATTCCAGCTATATGACGGCTGTCTGTAAATAATCGAGTCTGGACCAGACAATCCAGTGGTTTACATCATGAGCATCGATCCATTCAATTGGGATCGTTGACATGCATCAACCAAGTCAGCGAGCCTGACCACCCGATTCCGTTAGTCGCCTTTTACGACAAGCATAGTCACCTTTTACGGCAAGAATGGGTTGCTGAAGACTTATTCTACCTCGGAATCTTCACGGGTCGAATTTCTATTTGATTTCAACTGTCATGTCATAGGTTATATGAGAACGTAACGGATAAGTTGGGTGTTGCATTCTCGAACCAATCTGATTAAACAAACAAACAAACAAACAAACAAACAAACAAACAAACTTAAATTCACCTTGGAAATAGTAAGTTAGTAGAAAACCCTTTTCCATAAATACTATTTGACAGAAACACAATTATAAATGTCACTACATTTGGGGTTAGAGGGGAGGAAATCACGATTCTTGTTAACTGGTGGCAGCGATGATACCGCCTACGGTCACGAAGTCGTGACGAGTTAAAGATTTGATAATATGCAAGGTAGATAACTACAGTCAAATTCAGTCATACATACGTCATTCTTTATCAACTGTGGATAAATGGGGTTCAACTGATTAAGTAAATAATGGTACATACAGATTTGTGGGTGACTGAATGTTGTTTAACGCCGCAGTCAGCAGTATCCTAGCTATATCACGGCCTGTATATAATCGGGCCAGACAAAGCAGTAGCTGAAAGCATGAACAATGGTTCACACAATCGGGGTATGAGCCTTTTGAGTTGTATGTAATTGAATGAGTGAGTGAGTATGGTTTTACGCCGCTTTTAGCAATATTCCAGCAATATCATGGCGGGGGACACCAGAAATGGGCTTCACACATTGTACCCATGTCGGGAATCAAACCCGGGTCTTCGGCGTGACGATCGAACGCTTAAACCACTAGGCTACCCGACCGCACCTCTAATGGAATGAACCTTACTACTGTGATTGTGCACATAACGTGGAGGAAGTGTTTATCTATTTCCTCAAACAACTGAGATTCAACACAGGAGTCACAATTTAGGCCTCACTCCTTGAACAAATATAGAAATACTTCCTGTGATTGTATGACAAACTTTCTCTTATTAGTTTAATTGGACAATGTCTATTTTCTTAATTATTTTGACGAAAGATGTCCTGTTTCACTGCCGCGTTATTGAATATTGCTCTTTCTAAAGTGTGCATTGCGCACCCGATATACAGTAAACTACGGTTATAACGAACTGAATGATATAACGAACTTACTTTTTTGTCCCTAAAATTTGCTGTAGTTATGCTGTATATATGCTTATAACGAACTATGGTTATAACGAACAAAAATTAGTGGTCCCTTTGAGTTCTGAGATCACAACCTATTTGCTATTACGAAGTGGAAACCGCCTGGCAGTTATGCTCACAAACTCTCCCCCAGCTAAATTGTCTTAATAGTCAATTTGGATTTGTATTTGATGTTTGTTTGTTGTTTAACGCCGCACTCAGCAATATTCCAGCTATATGACGGCTGTCTGTAAATACAGTAAACTACGGTTATAACGAACTCAAATTTTAGTTCGTTATAACCGTAGTTCGTTATAAGCATATATACAGCATAACTACAGCAAATTTTAGGGACAAAAAAGTAAGTTCGTTATATCCGTTAGTTCGTTATAAGCGTGTTCGTTATAACCGTAGTTTACTGTAATCGAGTCTGGACTAGACAATCCAGTGGTTTACATCATGAGCATCGATCCATTCAATTGGGATCGATGACATGCATCAACCAAGTCAGCGAGCCTGACCACCCGATCCCGTTAGTCGCCTTTTACGACAAGCATAGTCACCTTTTACGGCAAGAATGGGTTGCTGAAGACCTATTCTACCCCGGAATCTTCACGGGTCGAATTTCTATTTGATTTCAACTGTCATGTCATTAGTTATATGAGAAGCAGTGTGTTTAATTCGATTCGATTCAGTTTCTATGGTGACATGGCAAACAGTATCATGCAAGTATACTCATGTGGGCCTCCGATTTTCTGAATCATTTTGACGAAAGATGTCCTGTTTCACTGCCGCGTTATTGAATATTGCTCTGTCTAAAGTGTGCATTGCGCACCCGATATACAGTAAACTACGGTTATAACGAACTGACTGATATAACGAACTTTTTTTGCCCCTAAAATTTGCTGTAGTTATGCTGTATATATGCTTATAACGAACTATGGTTATAACGAACTAAAATTAGTGGTCCCTTTGAGTTCTGAGATCAAAACCTATTTGCTTTTACAGTCGAACCTTGTTGTGTCAAACATGGATGTGTCGAATTCCCGGTTGTCTCGAACTCATTTGGGAGTCCCAAGTATCCAAATTAAGCATATTTGTTCCTGATGTATCGAACCCCTGACAACTCGAATTCTTTTCAGGTCCCAACGAGTTCGACCAACGAGGTTCGACTGTAGTTATGGAAATATATTCCCAGTAAGACATATGTAGCATAACAAAGTATATCTAAACATCTCATATATTTCTACTTAAGAGGTACTTAAGGTTGAGGAAATTATTACTACTGATATTTCCGAAACAAACTAATAAATTCACACCAGCTAATATTATAATTATATTGCATAGCAGTGATTTATAATCTCTAAATTATTTCCTCCAAAGCCAAGTGAACTTTGCTGACATTGATTGTACAGATATGAGTTAACTACAGTAAACTACGTTTATAACAAACACGCTTATAACGAACTGACCAATATAACGAAGTTATGTTTAAGTCCCGTCCATTTGTTGTATATATGCTGTATGTATGCTTATAACGAACTACGGTTGTTACGAATTAAAAAAAGGGGTCCCCTCGAGTTCGTTATAACCGTAGTTTACTGTACATTAACATGTCGTGATTATTAGTCATGTCTGATGTCAGTTTATTTATGTTCATTTATTTCGACAGCCTTCTCTGCATGGCAACAGTCCCGTGTCTGTCAGGGTCACCTACACTTGTGTTTGCAGTGAGAAGCGACTTAACCGGAATGGGTGATCAGTGTGATAATATCAGCCAGACTCTTTTAATCACAGGCCGCCGTGATGCAGCCGTGATGTTGTGTTTGCAGTGAGAAGCGACTTAACCGGAATGGGTGATCAGTGTGATAATATCAGCCAGACTCTTTTAATCACAGGCCGCCGTGATGCAGCCGTGATGTTGTGTTTGTAGTGAGAAGCGACTTAACCGGAATGGGTGATCAGTGTGATAATATCAGCCAGACTCTTTATTTACAGGCCGCCGTGATGCAGCCGTGATGTCGTTGATCACGTCGTAAAAAAACCAAAAACAATAATCGAAACAATGAAATGTCACGACATAACTAGTATGTTCAATCACCAACTCATTTGTTTGTAGTGAGAAGCGACTTAACCGGAATGACTGATCAGTGTGATAATATCAGCCAGACTCTTTATTTACAGGCCGCCGTGATGCAGCCGTGATGTCGTTGATCACGTCGTAAAAAAACCAAAAACAATAATCGAAACAATGAAATGTCACGACATAACTAGTATGTTCAATAACCAACTCATTTGTTTGTAGTGAGAAGCGACTTAACCGGAATGACTGATCAGTATGATAATATCAGCCAGACTCTTTTAATCACAGGCCGCCGTGATGCAGCCGTGATGTCGTTGATCACGTCGTAAAACATAAAAAAACAATAATGGAAACAATGAAATGGCATGACATACCTAGTATGTTCAATAACCAACTCATTTGTTTGTAGTGAGAGGTGACTTAACTGGATTGTGTGATCAGTCCAATAACCTCATCAGGTGGTTTGTCTGACCCGGTATAGTCACAGACCGCCGTGACGTAGCAGTGGTCTTGATGATCACGTCGTATAACAACAAACAAAACCAACCAACAATAAACAAGACTTGTAGTGAAATAACAACATATCACCACTTATGGTTAAGTCATCTGCTCAATCATAATTTAATAATCCGTAATTATAACATGCTATAATTACGTCATGAGATGTCAAAATACAGTAAACTACGGTTATAACGAACCCAAAGGGACCACTAATTTTAGTTCGTTATAACCGTAGTTCGTTATAAGCATATATACAGCATATATACAACAAATGCTCGGGACTTACACTACAGCAAATTTTAAGGACAAAATTCGTTTTATCCGTCAGTTCGGTATAAGCGTGTTCGTTATAACTGTAGTTTACTGTACTTTGAGAAACACTGACCAAATAACTATACTTACAAATTTTACAGCCAGATCTCCAGTTGATCTAGTTAAACTCCTGCTACTAACTGTTGGTCACGTCAAACACGGACAATGAAATCATATCACATGTCAGTTTACTTTACCGGGTAAGTGTGTTTACTCGATATCCCTTGATCAATTATTGTTACGCATAAATAATTATGTTCACCCGTTAGGCGTGCCAAACTCCATTACTCGTGGGTACGAATCCTTGCGAACTAACTCAACCACTCAACCACTCAACCATTTAACCACTCACTCACTCACCCACTCAGCAATATTCCAGCTATGTGATGGCGGTCTGTAAATAATCGAGTCTGGACCAGACAACCCAGTGATTGACATCATGAGCAATTGGGATACGATGACATGCATCAACCAAGTCAGCGAGCTTGACCACCCGATCCCGTTAGTCTCCACTTACGACAAGCATAGTCGCCTTTTATGGCAAGCATGGGTTGCTGCAGACCTATTCTACCCCGGAATCTTCTCGGGTTTCCGGTACAGTGCAAGACTACCAATATGGTTTAAGTGCTCCGTTATAGCACCTTATTACAATGACAAGCTGTGTCAATCAGAGAATTGTGCATAGCTTTGAGTGTGTGTTGTGTCAGCGTGTCATTACATATGTGATTATGACAACGATGTGTTCTTCGATCGAACACAAAAACAATACCATCAATAAACTTAACTGTTTCTATTCAAATGGGACCCGTGAAGATTCCGGGGTAGATTAGGTCTTCAGCAACCCATACTTGCCGTAAAAGGTGACTATGCTTGTCGTAAAAGGCGACTAACGGGATCGGGTGGTCAGGTTCGCTGACTTGGTTGATGCATGTCATCGACCCCAATTGCGTGGATCGATGCTCATGATGTCAATCACGGGATTGTCTGGTCCAGACTCGATTATTTTACAGACCGCCGTCATATAGCTGGAATATTGCTGAGTGGGGCGTTTAACAACAAACAAACAAACAAACAAAAAAACAACAATCAGCTTGCTCCAATATGACGTTTTATTGTTTACAACTTCGGTGAAACCCACGAGCACGGGTATGGTGCTGACAAACCTAGACATATCATCGGGGCGAACCAGGATTCGAACCCACAATCATAGGTTTCTGGCGTGCCCAAGGGACGCAACTCTGCATAGCGAATTGCTCCCACATCAGCCCTGACTTGTTGTGGCTGATTTTTTCTCAAATCAGAACAAACCTTAATTGTTATGTCCTGTCATGTAGCGTTAAGTTTTCATACAATGTCGACACTTCTCATTCCGGAATATCATAACGCAATTATGACTTCACAACACCAGATTGTACGCCATGATATTGTCCGTGACTTAGAAACACCGATAAGTTGTCCTCTGTACAGCACCCAGGTCACAAATCAGGCGAAATTAAACAATGGTTGTCTCGGAGAGTAGGCGGTGTCTTGACTCAGTAGCAGTAGCAGTAGCAGCAGTAGCAGTAGGAGAGTAGGCGGTGTCTTGACTCCTGGGAGTCCCTAGGGGTTCGGTACTGCCCCACGGTGAGTCATATGCTACATGTGGTGTCTCCTTGACAAGTAATTTGGTTCGAAATATGCCTCCGTTCACCCTGTAGTGAATGGGTACCCGGTAGGATGTAATGGTGAATGTGGACTTAATGTGCCCCACGCAGCTTGGGTTGCATACACCCCAGAGAGCTGAGAATGAAAATCCATTGACAGGGCTAATAATTCTCTGATGATATCCAGCATGGAAAAGCGCTATACACATGGGCTAGTAGTAGCAGTGGCAGTGACAGTGGCAGCAGCAAAAGCAGCAGTAGAAGTAGCAGTAGCAGTAGCAGTAGCAGCAGCAGCAGTAGAAGTAGCAGTAGTAGCAATGGCAGTAGCAGTAGTAACAGCAGTAGCAGCAGTAGCAGTAGCAGTAGTAGCAGCAGTAGCAGTAGCAGTAGTAGCAGCAGTAGCAGTGGCAGTAGTAGCAGTAGTAGCAGCAGTAGCAGTAGCAGTGGCAGTAGTAGCAGTAGCAGTAGTAGCAGCAGTAGCAGTGGCAGTGGCAGTAGTAGCAGTAGCAGTAGTAGCAGCAGTAGCAGTGGCAGTAGTAGCAGCAGTAGCAGTGGCAGTGGCAGTAGTAGCAGTAGCAGTAGTAGCAGCAGTAGCAGTAGTAGCAGTAGTAGCAGCAGTAGCAGCAGTAGCAGTAGTAGCAGCAGTAGCAGTAGCAGTGGCAGTAGTAGCAGTAGCAGTAGTAGCAGCAGTAGCAGTAGCAGTAGCAATGACAGCAGAAGTAGCAGTAGTAGCAGTAGCAGCTGTAGCAGTAGTAGCAGTAACAGCAGTAGCAGTAGTAGCAGCAGTAGCAGTAGCAGTAGTAGCAGTAGCAGCTGTAGCAGCAGTAGCAGCAGTAGCAGTAGCAGTAGTAGCAGTAGCAGCTGTAGCAGCAGTAGCAGTAGCAGTAGTAGCAGTAGTAGCAGCAGTAGCAGTAGCAATGACAGTAGCAGCAGTAGCAGTAGCAATGACAGTAGAAGTAGCAGTAGCAGTAGTAGCAGTAGTAGCAGTAGCAATGACAGTAGAAGTAGCAGTAGCAGTAGTAGAAGTAGTAGCAGTAGCAGTAGTAGCAATGACAGTAGAAGTAGCAGTAGCAGTAGTAGCAGTAGTAGCAGTAGCAATGACAGTAGAAGTAGCAGTAGCAGTAGTAGCAGCAGTAGCAGTAGCAGTAGTAGCAATGGCAGTAGCAGTAGTAGCAGTAGTAGCAATAGCAGTAGCAGTAGTAGCAGTAGCAGTAGAAGTAGAAGTAGTAGCAATGGCAGTAGCAGTAGTAGCAGTAGTAGCAATAGCAGTAGCAGTAGTAGCAGTAGCAGTAGTAGCAATAGCAGTAGCAGTAGTAGCAGTAGTAGCAATAGCAGTAGCAGTAGCAGTAGTAGCAGTAGCAGTAGAAGTAGCAGTAGTAGCAATGGCAGTAGCAGTAGTAGCAGTAGTAGCAATAGCAGTAGCAGTAGTAGCAGTAGCAGTAGTAGCAATAGCAGTAGCAGTAGTAGCAGTAGTGGCAATGGCAGTAGCAGTAGTAGCAGTAGTAGCAGTAGCAGTAGTGGCAATGGCAGTAGCAGTAGTAGCAGTAGCAGTAGTAGCAATGGCAGTAGCAGTAGTAGCAGTAGTGGCAATGGCAGTAGTAGCAGCAGTAGCAGTAGCAGTAGTAGCAGTAGTAGCAGTAGCAGTAGTAGCAGTAGTAGCAATGGCAGTAGCAGTAGTAGCAGTAGTAGCAATGGCAGTAGCAGTAGTAGCAGTAGTAGCAATGGCAGTAGCAGTAGTAGCAATGGCAGTAGCAGTAGTAGCAGTAGTAGCAGTAGTAGCAGTAGTGGCAATGGCAGTAGCAGTAGTAGCAGTAGCAGTAGTAGCAGTAGTAGCAATGGCAGTAGCAGTAGTAGCAGTAGTGGCAGTAGTAGCAGTAGCAGTAGTGGCAATGGCAGTAGCAGTAGTAGCAGTAGCAGTAGTAGCAGTAGTAGCAATGGCAGTAGCAGTAGTAGCAGTAGTAGCAGTAGCAGTAGTGGCAATGGCAGTAGCAGTAGTAGCAGTAGCAGTAGTAGCAGTAGTGGCAATGGCAGTAGCAGTAGTAGCAGTAGCAGTAGTAGCAGTAGTAGCAATGGCAGTAGCAGTAGTAGCAGTAGTAGCAGTAGCAGTGGCAGTAGTAGCAGTAGTAGCAATGGCAGTAGCAGTAGTAGCAGTAGCAGTAGTAGCAGTAGCAGTAGTGGCAATGGCAGTAGCAGTAGTAGTAGTAGCAGTAGTAGCAGTAGTAGCAGTAGTGGCAATGGCAGTAGCAGTAGTAGCAGTAGCAGTAGTAGCAGTAGCAGTAGTGGCAATGGCAGTAGCAGTAGTAGCAGTAGTAGCAATGGCAGTAGTAGCAGTAGTAGCAGCAGTAGCAGTAGTAGCAGTAGCAGTAGTAGCAGTAGTAGCAATGGCAGTAGCAGTAGTAGCAGTAGTAGCAATGGCAGTAGCAGTAGTAGCAGTAGTAGCAGTAGTAGCAGTAGTAGCAATGGCAGTAGCAGTAGTAGCAGTAGTAGCAATAGCAGTAGTGGCAATGGCAGTAGCAGTAGTGGCAATGGCAGTAGCAGTAGTAGCAGTAGCAGTAGTGGCAATGGCAGTAGCAGTAGTAGCAGTAGCAGTAGTAGCAATGGCAGTAGCAGTAGTAGCAGTAGTAGCAGTAGTAGCAATGGCAGTAGCAGTAGTAGCAGTAGTAGCAGTAGCAGTAGTAGCAATGGCAGTAGCAGTAGTAGCAGTAGTAGCAATGGCAGTAGCAGTAGTAGCAGTAGTAGCAGTAGCAGTAGTAGCAATGGCAGTAGCAGTAGTAGCAGTAGTAGCAATAGCAGTAGTGGCAATGGCAGTAGCAGTAGTGGCAATGGCAGTAGCAGTAGTAGCAGTAGCAGTAGTGGCAATGGCAGTAGCAGTAGTAGCAGTAGCAGTAGTAGCAATGGCAGTAGCAGTAGTAGCAGTAGTAGCAGTAGTAGCAATGGCAGTAGCAGTAGTAGCAGTAGTAGCAATAGCAGTAGTGGCAGTAGTAGCAGTAGTAGCAGTAGCAGTAGTAGCAATGGCAGTAGCAGTAGTAGCAGTAGCAGTAGTAGCAGTAGTGGCAATGGCAGTAGCAGTAGTAGCAGTAGTAGTAGTAGCAGTAGTAGCAATGGCAGTAGCAGTAGTAGTAGTAGCAGTAGTAGCAATGGCAGTAGCAGTAGTAGCAGTAGCAGTAGTAGCAGTAGTGGCAATGGCAGTAGCAGTAGTAGCAGTAGCAGTAGTAGCAGTAGTGGCAATGGCAGTAGCAGTAGTAGCAGTAGCAGTAGTAGCAATGGCAGTAGCAGTAGTAGCAGTAGCAGTAGTAGCAATGGCAGTAGCAGTAGTAGGAGTAGTAGCAGTAGTAGCAATGGCAGTAGCAGTAGTAGCAGTAGTAGCAATAGCAGTAGTGGCAGTAGTAGCAGTAGTAGCAGTAGCAGTAGTAGCAATAGCAGTAGTGGCAATGGCAGTAGCAGTAGTAGTAGTAGCAGTAGTAGCAATGGCAGTAGCAGTAGTAGCAGTAGCAGTAGTAGCAGTAGTGGCAATG